CATTTTGAGCCTGAGTGCTTTGTAAAGTCCCTAGGAGGACAGCGAATGCGACTCAAACCGGACGCTATACCTACGAAGTTTATTTTCTCCGCTGAAAAGCCACGGAGGAAAATACCTTATGATCGACAAGCAACAACAACAACAACAACAACAAAGAAGAGTAGTGGGACTGCGAGATGTCTCAATGTGAGTATGGATACGACTGTCGACATTAATGTCATTGATAAGCAACTGAAGAGCATTGAAAACACAGATCCAATTGTGTCCAAAGATTCACTCGAATCCACAGAATCGGGAAGACCACTGCTTGTAACAGCTGCGGTGGTACTAGTAGTTTTGCTCACTTCGCTCACTTGTTTACATGCCAAGTGCTGCCACTTTTTAAGAAAATCGTCATCCCATCCGTTCTTGATGTAGCATATAACCCTATTTTAAAGAAAAGGTACACAGACATTACGATTCTGTAACGATTTAAAATCAGGGTAAAAATACCAAGATTTAAATAAATATTATGAACTCAACTTTGAACTAGCACGGGTCTCGAAGCTGTCGATCCAGCACTTCCATCTTCGGCAGTTCCTTCACGATACGAAAGCTATTCCTTCAGCCTTTCCTATGTAACATCACGACGACACTTGCTGCTAAATATTTTCACTTTCTCTACGGCAGATAAAAATGCTGATTTTGAAGATAATTCAACATTTTCGACGCTCATGCTAAATTCGACTTCACAACTTCTGTAATCTTCGAGAAAGCTTGACCCAAGAGCCTCGCTTTTGTGTGCACTAATACAGGAAGCCGCTGTCCAACTACACCGCACACGCGGAACTGGATCATGGGCTATTAAAACTGATGACTTTGCTAATTTGGCGCGATTTCGAGACACTGTTTTTCATCGGTCCTTAATTTGTATGGGATGTCTTTGTACACGCTTTAGTTTTGGATAGTAATCAGTGTTTTCCGTACATTATTCCTGTACTAGTGAGTGTGCTGAAACCATAACAAAGCCTGTTGTATTTTCTGAAGTAGAAACCAGTCAAACTAGACATCCTGAGCGGATATTATTTCGTTGTAATTCGCGTTACAGTTTTAAAAAAAAATTAATGTAAAGTGAGAAGCTCGTTTCAATTTTAGAGCTATAGGGCTTATTTCATTTGGAGTATAGCTTCCACGGCTGTTCTAGACTGAAATAGTGAGATACTGTGGTAAAATGGCACCGATCTTTTGACTCAGTTGGAGTTGTCTAAAATGGTGCTTTTTGGAATAAAGTGACCTACGTCAGAATGATCGTTTGCAGTATAATAAAAATATTTTAAGAATTCCTTTCGAGAAAGAACCAGGGTTTGACCAAGAGCCTAATCTTTTTTACTTTTCTGCTGATGATACATATATTTTTTACGGTTCATTTTACTTATCGTTTTGCTTGGACAGTACTCCTTATCTTTCCATTACATGTAAAGTGAGGTAAATGAAAATATTGTTCTAATACAAAATTCCCAAATACGATTTAACTACTCCTGGTTCGTCGCGCACGAGTAACCAAAGCCGCTGACCAGGTTCGAATTTGGTCACCCTGTCAGTCAAGCCGGTCACGCAACGAAAGGTTGAAGATCGCTTAATTGAGCTTGATCGATAGACGCTCGCACAAGTTGAAGTAATTATCTAAAGTCAACTTAGAATGAAGGCAATTTCTGAACCGTATCTCACAGCAGTTAACCTCGAAGACCTGACTGATGGACATCTTGAAGACATAACACTCAGCGACGAGCAGAGTAAATTTCTTGATGCAGTTCGTGACGGCGACGCACATGGCGTTCGTTTGTACGTGTTGGAGAAACATGTCGATGTGAATTGTGCGAATTTGTCCGGAGAAACCGCCCTGCAGCTAGCTGTAAACAACGACCGTCACGTTATCGCCAAGTTTCTTCTTGAGAATGGAGCTGAAGTGGGTAATGCACTGCTACAAGCTGTTGCCAAAGATTCTATCGAGTGGGTGAGAGCGTTACTCGATTTCGTGAAGGACTCGGAGAATAGACCGGCTAGTCCTAGCATTGTGTCTTCAGAACAGCAGACGAGCCGAGTTAAGTATAACAGATTCGTTTCCCCTTTGATGTTGGCTGCCCACAATGACAACCAAGAGATGGTGAAGCTTTTCTTGGCGAAAGGTTTCACGATTGAAGAACCGCCATTCCATAACAGATCCTGTGAGTGCGACGAATGCATGCGCTTGGGAAAGCGATTGGGGACTTCTATTTACCGTTTGCAGAGTTATCGAGCGATGGCTAGCCCTGTGTACTTGTGCATGTCGTATTTACTCGACAAATCCAGCGACCATTTGGTCGAAGACCAAGACATAGCCTCGTCGAAAGATCCGATCGTTCGAGCTTTCCTTTTAAACCGGAAGCTAGAGAGTCTCGTTGATACAGAGTACGAATTCAAAGCAGATTACAAACAGTTGTCTGACAACTGCGAAGAATTTGCAGTAGCACTTCTCACAAAGTGTCGTACGATGGAAGAAATAAGTTGTGTTATGGAGGTACCTGGTATTGATCAAGTACAACATGTAGAAGTCAGGGGGGGACCAGAAGCCCAAAAGCTCAGCGTGCTGAATTTTGCCATTGCTAATGGTAACGAGAAGGTATGTGTAACAACATGTTAGCTTACGCATGTACGCAAGAAGTGGTTGCTGTGGTGATTAAGAAGGACGTAAATCACGATGTTTGGATTTTTAACAAAAAAGTCAACGCTAAAATACCCAACTTTGGTCATTTTCAAGTGGATAGTAAAAATGACTCAATGAATATATAGGAATATGTAAGAAGTATAAATTTTTTTTTTGTAGATGTAAACGCACAATAAGAACAAAGAGGAAAAATAGTTAATTAAAAACCTTTGCACGTATTGAGTCCGATTGTACATCGAGAGAATGTCTCAGTTCTTGAATAACAAACACTTCGTAGAGTAGCGGTGGTCAAATTTGTTCTTAAACTTCTTTAACTTAAAGAGCGTGTGACACGCTAAAATTCTTCTTTTTTGGCCCCAAAGGATCCTACGAAGAATTTTAGCGTTTTTAAGAATGCGCGAATAAGTTTGACTGCTTACTCCAAAAAATGTTTGTTATTCAAGAAATGAAACCCGCTTTGTATGTGTTGTTATTGTCCGTTTACACCTGCAATTTTTCTTTACTTCTTACACGCATATATGTATTCATTTTTTTAGCGTTCTTACCATGCACTTGCAAAAGACCAAAACGTCGTATTTTTTTATCGTTATACTTTTTTTTTGCGACTAGTGGAAAAGAGAATTTCTCGACGATATAGTTTGTTGAAACACAGGCGGCCCAAGCGTACTATTCATGATTTCTGGGTTTCAAAAATCGTAAACAGGGAGACAATCGAACTTGTATTAAGCGACACCTTGTTAAGCGGTCACACTGTATTAAGCGGTCAGTTGTCCAAGTTCAGGATTTGTTTTCCCAAAATTACTGTAATTTTTACCACCATATGCGGTCACCTCTATTTTAATGATATTTTAAAAGCAGTCGTGGTCACCCCGTAAATCACGAAAAGTACGCTTGACCGCCCCTGTTGAAACCGAAAGTCACAAGCTGAGGTAAAAGTAAACGGACAGGAATTGGAAAGGGAAAACTTTACAAGAGTTCTCCCTTTAGAGAACGAAAAGCTGTCAAGGAAAACTTATCATGGACGAAAATGCTAATGTTGATTAACTTAATGAGGGCAATGAGGTTTATCGATAAAATGCCAAAGATTCAAATTAGAATTCTCAACAAGTTTTTCTTGCCATGTGCGCAGCACTCGTCAGTTAATTTGTCGACTGTAAGTAACGCATATTATTAAAATGTCGGCAATTTTTTTTCGAGGCATAATTGGAGACATTGCTCCTATAATAAAGTGAATTAGGAACGATGTAAGTATTGGATAACGTCAATGTAAGTGGTTACGCATATTTGTGGGAATAGGGTCACTCCATAGTAACGTCAGTGGACAGTAATTTAAGTGAGGGAGGGGAGGGAAAGGAGCTACGCATGCCCCTTCTTGGCGTTTGCCTCCGAAGAAAAAAAGAACTGCTGTCGTAGATAGTTGCTGATAACATTCGACAGAACGCCAGAAAAGGAAGTGAGACGAAATGTCTGTCTGTCAAAGTGATGGGTTTTTGCGTGACGTTTGAGTTACGTTAATCGCGTACATGTAGAGTTCGTTACGGGTGATTTGTCAGTTTAAATCTGTCGCAAAAGTGGGGCGAGCCTTTCTTCCCAATTATCTTCATGTCGTTTAAATGGGTCTCGGGTAAGGTACTGGTGACTAACGGAGTGTTCTCAGTTTTTACAGAGGCAAAAATATTTTTGGCAAGGGGGATGCTTTAGTATTGTAATCATGTGCATATAAGAGCTGTATAGAGACAGTGAAGTACGTGATAGGGAGCATTTTGCGTGACGAGACCAAACCTGGCTGCGGAAGGGAGCTCTGATGTTATTACGGCGCTCGAGATAAAGCGTTTAGGAGCAGCTTAGTGTGGAAAAAGACATGAATGCTCAGTATTTTCGGACTACTTAAAGTATTCTTTGGTGTGGCTTTGTCAACAACAAACAAGGTTATTTAATATTCTGTAGCACTAGCAGAACACTGCCAAATCTTGCATTGAATTTTAAACAACACCATCGTACATCGGACTTCAGGTTTCGTGACGGGTTTGAATCTAACACGTGCGAGCTTAAGAGTTCACTGGGCAATAAGCCTTCTTTAAGTGGATCTTAAAGTTTGGGAACTCAAGTGATCTTTTTTTTCTCTAGTTTGTCGCTCACCCTTACAGCCAGCTTATGCTCAACTCGGTGCTGTACAACCGATTAGGAGGATGGGAAGATTTTGGTTTTCTAAAGAAAGTGATATGCAGTATGTTTTTAACATTATTGTTGCCAGTATTGGCCTTATTTTATTTCCTGGCCCCTAACTCTCAAGTCAGCAAAATGCTGAGGAAACCGTTCTTCAAGTTTGTGAGTCACGCGGGTTCGTTTTGCTGCTTTCTTATCCTGCTTATATTATCGTCGATTCAGGACAAGTTGTTTGATGTGCTTCAGTTTACAGTCTTTGGTAAGTACTTTTCAAGGTCTTTTTAATCGTTTGACATTTAATCACTCCGATCAACTGTCATTTAATTATTTGATGAGTATTTAATCAGTAGTCGAGTCCTAAATGATTAGATTTGCGACTCACGATGGCATGGTTTACCAATTATTCATTTCACTCCTTACATTTGAAATAAGCGAACGATGTTTACAAGAAGTCGTTGTGGAAGAGTTTGTTTGAGTGACATGTCGTTAAAGCGAAAAAAGAACTTCCACGTTGACTAGTAATTTTTTTTTTCCTCTTGAGCAGATGTTTTCTTATCGCTGTGGATCGCCGGTCAGTTGCTCCAAGAGGCAAAGGAAGCGTTACGTCAAGGCAAAGAGCGTTACATTTCACAATACTGGAACCTTGTCTCGCTGTTCATGTTAGGGCTCTTCGTGATCTCGGGAGCCCTGTGGCTTACCGGGTTTATCATGACCGCGCAAGGATTTGGAGACTGGACAATACCCATTGGCCAAGTATTTGGTGACAAAGCCCAGGTGTACGCGTACCGCCTTCTTCTTTTGTCCAACGCCACATTTTCAATCGGTCTGGTCTTGAGTTTCATTAATGCTTCCAATTTTTTTCAAGTTAACTCCATTCTCGGGCCTCTTCAGCTGTCCTTGGTGAAAATGATGAGAGACATCGCCAAGTTTCTGTTCCTGTTTTTGTTGTTGTTCCTTGCGTTCGGTTGGGCTGAGCGGAAGGTTTACTCCACGTACGTACAAGCCAGGGAAGAATTTCAGGGAAATGAAACTGAACATAAATTTGCCAGGTGAATACTAGTTAGAGTCTTTGACATGTTACCCTACTGGGCCTAGTTGTATAAAAGGCAGATAACGCCATACAACGGATAAATCCCTGTCTAGCGGATAAATGATAAGAAAACCTAATGCAATATCCGCCGGATAGGGTTGTCCAACCTTCTAACAACCGGGGCCAGAGGTATACAAAAGAACAATTTTGCCCCAATAAGGAAAATTTAGGTGCGGCTTTTGAATCATGATATGAATGGAAGATCATGTAGTCGCTTAATCAACCCCATTGAAAAGTCAAAGATGACAGATTTCGTAGAGTATTAGCTAATTCCAGACGCCGAAAATTAATAAACAAACAGATGTATTGCAGCTTAATAACAAAGAATGATTGATAAAATGTTAACAATAGACAAATATTTATAAAAGGAACAGCCCAGTTTTGTTCCTATAATTTTACCAACCATTGTATAGCGATCGTGTAGAAACTTGGCTTACTGTTCAGCGGAGAAACAAAAGCAAAGCGAAGAAAGGAAAGGAAATGCGTCGAGTTGAATTGTTGTCTAACGGTTGAATTTTTGCAGGATCGGTGGAACTCTGAGGTTCTTGTTCTGGGACTTGTTTGGAATGTCGGATCTTTCGGACCTGAGAACAGATAAGAACTTCATTATCACTCAATATACAGGGGAAGTACTCCTGGGATTATACACTATTTTCTCCATTGTGGTCGCCATAAACATGCTGATTGCCATGATGTCGAACTCCTATCAGAGGGTAGCGGTAAGTTAAATCAATGAAAGCGCGTTTACTCCGCTATTTTTGTCACTTGATATCATGTAATTTTTATTGCACCGAAGGTGTATCTCCGGAAAAGCAGCAATCAAAATCGCGCGAATTATCGCTACGATCAAGCTGCGATTCCCTGCGCTTTGATGTGCAGTACCCGGAATGTGTAAAGTTTAACTGTAATTCCGCAGGTACCACAGGCACTGACCCTTTATTGAAAATGTGTTGCTGTTTTTTTAAGGACGATGCTGATATCCAGTGGAAGTTCTCGAGAACTCGAATGTGGATGCCATATCTGGATGAAGGCAACGTTATGCCGCCGCCGTTCAACCTCATTCCTCCTCCTCATTCGGTAATCCGTCTCTGTAGGAGGTTTTGTGCCGATCCGGCCTCCTTCATGGTAGGTGGAGAGGCTTAAAGATTTATTCTCATATAGTGCGCTCTCGATGGTTACTTTGGGGGTCACCTGACGTCAAACTATGAAACTGTTTCCGGTCAAAAGTCTCTATGCAAGCAACATCGTAAAATGTATGACGTCAGAGGTTAACAGTGCTCTGCTACCCGCGAATGTTGACCGACATTGCGTCAAGGAAGTTAGTGTGACGTTTTAGCCCTGTAGTATTTTGTGCTCTAGTGCGCTCGCATATCTTCATAAATTTAGTTGGTTTTCACATTGTCATCTAATGTCCTCGTTGTGCTACAGAACAAATCGCTCAATGAACGTTTCCATTGTAAAGTGGCCATTTTATTTCCCTTGAGAGCAGTCGTAAAGATGTTGTCCTTTCCAGATTGTCTTGAAAATGAATCCGTATAAACTCCGTCAGTTCATGTTTGCATTTAGTTAGCGTAGTGATGAAGATGCTTTCATTGCCTTCCACGTACTTTTTTTCTTCTTTGTTTAGCGCGGCTGCTGTACCAGGCAAGATAGACCAGCGTCATTATTGAAAGATAAGGTGGACATAAAGAGGGTATGTGTACATTATGCAACTTGATACACCCAAAAGCGTTTATTATAGAGAAGCAAGTTAAACCGTTCAATTTAAAGCAGTGCTCTGTGAAGTAAAAAAGGTGGTAAGCAAGGCTAGGGGTGAATTTTCATCCAATGATGTAATCTTGCTCAAAAGTCTCTTGAAGCTCGGAAACGATTGGATTCTTGAATTTCTTGTGGCCACAATATCCCACCAGCCACTCGTTCCGTCGCCATTAAAATGTTCATGTGCATTGCCCTCCTCTAGCTCATCTTGAATTTGCCTTTGTCTTGTTTGGACTTTGCGATTTCTAAGGTTTGGTTCACGAAACTCTATCGACTACTAAATTTCTGTTTCTGTTAATTGGTCATTTCTTGAAGCGTATACCTTCGTTTCACGATAAAGCCATTTGGATCCAAGACTTTCCACATCTCGATAGTGTGTTAAAGCGAATCGCACATCATTTACAACGAGGGAATAGAAGCTTTAGACGAATACGAACCGGTTAATTAACTTTTCTTTGGGTTTGTTAATTTAGCGGCGCGTGGTAATGAGGCGTTTGATCCAGCGGTATCTTCTCACTTTTGAGAATTCGAAGAAACCCTGCCAGTCTGATGCTCCTCAGCTTACAGCGGAGAGACAGGGGGACAGCATCGAACTGAAGGATCTGATTACACAGTTGCAAGGCATATTGAGAAGGAGAGAAGAAAACAAATGTCCTGTTAATGCAGCTAAATCACAGCCTGAGGTAAATGGTAATCTGAAGACAGAACTATTCTTTGGGTGCGATAGTAGGTACCTCACACAAACAAGGACGGCAACAGGGACAAGCGCATGTGGAAACAAAACATGGAATGAGTAGAAAAACAGCTGAGCCCGTTAATTTTTAAACTGCATATTGTGTAACCGCCCTCTGGAAAACAAAAACGTAAATTACACACTCCAAGTATGGTAACCCTAACAGCAATGAATTTACGTTTCTTCGTGAAACTCTGGGACGAATATAGACAGACCCCATTAAGATGGTAAACACATCGAAAATGTTTAAAGTGACTTTACAAGTAGTATGTTACATCCCTCGTAAAGTACTCTTACGTCATTGAATAGCTTACTTGCCATATCAACTGCTCTTGAATGGGCGACCTCTTTGTGATTTTCGGATAGTTACGCATGTAATAAGTTTCTTTGTTGACAAGAAGGTTTTGACGCTTTTATTTTTCATTTGTGACTTCCTTTAGGAAAAAACCAAAGTAGAAATTCATCACAGAGGCTACGGAACTCATCGAAAAGCGGAGAAAGACACAGACGCTACGCTGTGAGCTAGATTTGCCACGGGAATGGCAGGAGAAAGGAAAAGGACTTTCGCCCCAATTTACACCTAACCCCTTTGTAAACCCACCCATCTTATTTTAAGACCTTGAGTGTTGGTCCGGCCGGGACTCGAGCACTCGTGCTCCCGCACAACAGTCCAGCGCACTATCCATTGGGCTAACTGGGCGGCGGTTTAGATATTAACAGTCTTAGAACTTTAACATTTCTTTTTATTGTCTTGTTTGTTGCTCAGCCAAGGAAAAAAGTTATCATTGTGTCTCTACGTGCGAACATGTCACGCAATCACTCCAGTGTGAACGATGACGATTATTTTAACTGTCTTATTCCGACGTTTATCGAGTTCCCTGCCAAAATAACTTTCTGCTTTTTATAGAAGAAATAGAGATTAGTGAGCAGAGAGGTACGAGAGTATCCGTTTTTCCGTCAATCGCAAAACTCAATGCCCCGAAGACGCAGATAGAAAAACAAGTGTTTGCAGTCCTGCGACAATCAAACATAATTTTTTCAGTAAAAAGAGAGAACGACTGGCTTTCTAATATCCATCCTACGTTTTCCCAAAGATCTCTTGTGTAGCTGCGGAGTCACTCATAATGAATTTGCTTTCTTTCAAAGATTTCGAGGCACTCGTTCAATTGACGACCGGTCATTTTAATTTGTAAGGTTTTCATAAGCTCGTATGGGATAATGTTCCACAGCCTTTTTTTTTCGGAAAATGACCGATGTTTTCAGGATGATTTTCTCTGTAGTAGTAGGCGCGATGAAACCAGAGTGTAAGCCGTTGTAGCTCCAGAAGAAGAAAGTAACCCCCCCCCAGAAGGTATTTTGTCGTCGAGTTGGACTACAATAAAAAGAAAAAAGTTAAAGTAAGGAAGCTCGTTTCAATTTTAGGGCCAAAGCGATAATTTTAATTGGCCAATAGCTAGAAAATAGTGAAAAAGTGTGCTAAAATGCAACGGTATCTTAACGTTTGAGCTTCCAAAAATGTTTCTTCTTTAAATAAAAGGTGAAGTGCATTTACAAAACGCTAACGTTCTTCAATTCACACTTCACTTTTTACGAGGTGAGGGAGGAAGAGGGGGGCTAGTGGGACTTTTGAACCGCTATTACAAGTAACGATGACCCCCCCCCAACCCTCCAAATCCTGCCAGTCCTCCTACCCCGTAAAAATGAACAGTTCCTAAACAACAAAGGTCCACACGCGCTAAGTTGACAATTTATTCTACTTGTGTGACCTATTTGTCTTCGCCCTGTGACGAATGATCGTGCATTATCAAATCCCCCTATCACCTATGTGATAGAATAATTATAACTGTATACATAGGTTGATGATGTTGGCATTAAATGAGTTCTTTGGTTTCTGCTTGATCAAATGTAGTTGTCCGCTGTTATAGCGCTCGTTACACGCCCCTTTTTTTAAAACACCTCCCAAATGCAATTTGGATACTCTTGGTGATGCTGAAAAGGTTTTAATGCTGCTGTCAACAAAATCTAGTTACTGCTTTAAAATTTTCGTTTGTTTGCTATTCAGTTAGAGAAAGCATTTAACATTAATTTGTCGAAGTCAAGTTGTTCTTTTTGCCTAGCTTTCTTTTCACAATACTGTTTTCCCCGCTGAATTTTTGGCTTACGTTTGATCCATTGTAACTTCGTTTCCTCGTTTCGCAAAATTACTTTTGCCGCGAAATTTCAGAGGAGTTCTTTGTCACGAGACGTGCTAGGGGTTTGACGTTGCGTTTCATTGGTCGGTGGCGTGAAAGCATTGACACGAAGGTGCGAAGACTTTGAATCTCTTTGGAGGCCGAAAACTCGAAGTTTGTTCTCGCGCAAGGTAGCTCTACTTAAAGGAATTAATAGTGTATGTAGATTTATTGGACTTTCGTGAAAATTGGCCAAAATGTTTGAGGCTTTTACGAAATTCATCATATTCCTCTTGTGATATTCCGCAGCGTACAACAATCGAAATATTTCCCTTCAAAAAAGATTTTCTCAAGAACCAAAAGGAGTATCGAAAGAGCCTCACAGACTTTGTTAGCCTAGTATCTGCTGAGTGATTTTGGAGGTCCGCAGAAACACGGAAGCTGAAAATTCAGTGAAGCAATCAGGTTTGTGTCAAAAGGCTCGCAGGCGCCTACCAAAACCAAAACTGTGGGAACTTCTGTTATTTTCCTAATCTATTCTTTATAAGCGTTACAGTGATATAAAGTATTTTTTCATTGTTCCTTCAAAAGTAGCGCGCGTTGGACGATTTTTCCGGAAGGCGCCCTATTTTGATGATAAGTCTTGACAGTAATCTCAAAGAGAGTGGAAACTCTTTTTAAAAGCAATATCATCACAAACAACCACAGATGTCTCCTTACTGCATTACGGCTAAATAGCACTTAGCACAAAACAAGACATACCGGTATTCGCAATAAGTTAAATGTCAACACAGAAGGAGTTCAGGAGAGCGCAATTGTGGAAGGCATTGAAGGAAAGCTAGTAAAATAATGAAGTTAAGCATGTTACCTGTAGGTGGATGACAACAGACCTAGAGAGGCATTTTTATTGAGTGAGCTTTATGTGAACTAGACACCGATTTGTAACAGGCCCTGTGGTCTTAACGACTAAAATCAAAATTGTGGGAACCATGAGCTATGACCTTCTGCGAGGTAAGTCATCCTTGAGGGGTTCGTCACGCACCGTGCGGGGGACAAAAACTGACGCACACGGACATAGCAACCATAACCGCAAATTTGAATGATATTACAAGCTTTGGTGAGGTTAAAAAAAGTTCTCTTCCGTATATCGACATATTTGTTTCGGTATACATTGTTGGAAAGCTGAGTATGTCGACAGTGCCTAGATCCTCGACAACTGTCCAACAGTTATCTAATTCGGGAGATAAAGTCAAAGAAAAAGAACAGAGAAAATTTCTCAATGCAGTTCGTAATGGAGATATAGAAGGCGTTTCGACGCCAGATTCCAACATAAACTGTGTAAATGTGTCCGGAGAAACAGCTTTGCAGTTAGCAGTAAAGAACGATCTCCACGATATCGGCGAGAATCGAGCTGAAGTGGCGAGTGCCTTGCAACAAGCTGTTGACAAAGATTCGGTCGAATTGGTGAGAAAGTTACTCGATTTCGTAAAGGACACAGAGAATAGATCAGCTGGTCCGAGCAATGTGCCTTCAGAACAGCAGACGAGCCAGGTTCGGTTTGATAGCATTGATGTCCCTTTGATGATGGCTACCCACAATGACAACCAAGAGATCATGAAGCTTTTCTTGGAGAAAGGTTTCACGATTGAAGAACCACCATTCCACGATAGATCCTGTGAGTGCGAAGAATGGAAGTGCCTGGGTAAACGAGTGAAGGCCTCTCTTTACCGTTTGCAGATATATCGAGCGCTGGCGAGCCCTGTATACTTGTTCATGTCGTATCTATTGGACAAATCTAGCAACCAGTTCGTCGAAAAACAAGGCATGGCTTCGTCCAAAGATCCGATCGTTCGAGCTCTCAGTTTAAACCGGAGGTTGAATAGTCTGGTAGATACAGAGTACGAATTCAAGGCGGATTACAAGCAGTTGTCTAACAACTGCGAAGAATTTGCAGTGGCGCTTCTCGCAAAGTGTCGTACGGAGGAAGAAATAAGTTCTGTAATGAAGGCACCTGTTGATGATCAAGGACAACACGAGGAAGTCAGGAGGAGACCAGAAGCTCAAAAGCTAAGCGTGCTGGATTTTGCTATTGATAATGGTAATGAAAAGGTATGAATAACAACTTGCTCGCTTGTTTAACTGGCACAAGGAGTACTTACGTTGGTGATTAGGCGGAGTAAAATTACGATTTTTTCATGTTGTTTTTTTTTTTTCTGATTTGCATCTATGTTATTACAGATTCACTCCACCAGATTACAAATAAACAATTAATTGAATTAAATTTATCACTTCAAGGAAGAAACGTTTTGGATAGGGCCTCTTATCTACCTCCTATTGGATATTGGCAACAATTTTAACCGAGTTTCTCTTCGATCTGAGCGGCAATTATGCGCCTCCATTGATCTCGAATGACAGCGAAACCTCTGTACGCTTCACTTGTCACCACTGTAGTGCATTGATTAAGGTTTCGATAACTGGCCTCCACTGAGCTTGAATAGCCGCTAAACCCCGGTATACTCCACTTGTCACTACTGTATCGGATCGATTAGGGTTCTGATAACTGGGATGTGAAAATGTATCAGTTTTGTCGATTTTACATACATTTTTCGGTTTTGATCGACTTTTTTGTGGTTTTGCGATTTTGGTTGATTATTTTTCTACGGCTTTGCGGTTCCTAAAAGCCCTCATCCTTGAGCCAATCATGAGGTACCAAGAATAATATATAGATTTAGACAAGCCTAAAGCGGAGCTCCAGTTACCGGCACTTTATTTTCTTCTCTTTATTCCATTAAAAATCTTTGGCACTGCTAGTCGAAGAAGTTACCCAAGGGGATTTACGGATTTAGTCCGGTTGGTAATGGGGATGGGGGGAAATTGACGGCGTCGGGAACCGAAAAACGATGTGGACGATGTTGCCACAACTTGCAACAGGTATGCTATTCGGCGGCTATCAAGCAGCTTGAGAGCTTCGTCGATGCTCCTGATTGTTTTAAACGGATTTTTTCGAGGATAGGGAGTGCTTTCTTCACCAGTTATACGGTATGGTTTCAGTATGAATTCAAGTGATTTCCTATTGGGCATGAGAAAATGAGCCAAATTTGAAAGGAGCGACGGTTAAACGACTTCGAGTTAAGATATCACCGGTCGATCGAGGGGTACACGTGAGAACAGTGAACACAGTGAGTCAGTGAAATAATACACCGGAATCGGATGGGTTTCTTTTGATTCTCCTGATGTCCCACTTTGGCATGACTGCTTGCTCCACCAATTTTTTTCTTAAGTGTCAACTTCCTCCAGTAAGCGTAGAAAATTAAAAAGAAAGTCACTTTCAACTCGACGTTAAACCTTCTAATTTTGTAACTCCTCTTTCGACTATTCGCGTTTTATGGTCCTCTTGCTGGAAATACACGGCGTCTTTTTGAGATTTTCTGTTATTTAATTCGGTAACCTCTACTCATAGAATGTCTACATAGAATTTCAGTGTCTTTCAAAGAGCCGTCCAAGATCTTGGTCACTCTAGCTACTGAAATACTTAAGTTATCCAGCATCTGTTTCTTTCGCTGCGAAAGTTTGATTTAACGAATACAAAATTGACCGGTTGTTAACTGATACCAGGAGACCTATAAACTTTTGAAAGAATGTGAAATTAGGTTAAAAAATTAGAATTCAGTAAAGGCCTGATAAGCAAGATCCTTTGAAAAAGATATTTTGTACTATCAAAAGGCCAAGCCAATTTTTTTTCCAACCCTTGCATAGACCTGTATGGCATGTGGTAAAGTCATTTAAAAAAGTCACAATCCTGGTTTTCATGTTGAAACACATATATGCTTGCACATTTGTTATAAAGCTGTATCTTTCCATTAGCTCAGGGGACAGTGAGAGTGAATGAGAGTGATAATGACTGTTGTTTGTGCAAATATCCAGAGAGAGATAAAAAGTTGTATATGGTCTGCACAACTCTCTCATTATAACTTTTTTTTAAATTTTGACTTTTAAAGCTGAGGCACGTATATTTTCGCATTGTGCATCTCAATTAATTTAAACTTTATGCACCAAAATACAGAAAAGCTACTCGTTATCTATGTAACCCTGGACTTTAAAGAAAGGAGGCAGGTCAAAGAAAAAACAGAGATTAAAAGAGCCCCACGGTTGCCCATTAACTTCAGACCCATTTGTTGGAGGTTCCCTTCTTTTCCAGGTTCCCACCCTTCAAAAGTCAAATATCTTGTGACAAAATCCTCATATCAAGGCTTAGTTTGAGTATCGGCACCATGCACTATGATTTAAATATTGAGACTGAGTATTTGATACGCCCAATTATTACACGCCTCGGGCAGTCAGAGGGCTAATAACTAAAAATCAAAATGCAGTCGTCAATATTATCTAAGTATTGGACCGGGCACTGTCCCGAATGGTCCTAAATGACACCGTACTTGTGTCCCTTTGAACTTCAGTCGTATAATAAATCTCTTATTAACCAAGCCGCTTGCTCGGGACCGTACTGGAAGAATATCGGCCCTCGGTCTTTTTTGTACGGACCTCGCTGCGCTTGGTCCGTACTGTCAAGACCTCGGGTCGATATTCTCCCAGTACGGCCCTCGCGCTTGGTTAATAAGATATATTTATTATATGGCTGTATCTTATTTG